ATATTAGTAAAAAAATTATGATATCTTAAAGCATTAAACGCAACTTAATGTTAGTTCTTTTTATAAAAAAAAAAAAAAGTAAAGTTAATCCATGTTGCAAAAGAATGAAGTTTTTTTAGTAGTTCGATACGTTTGTTTACCTTTTACTATACGAAATGGTAGATTAAAAACGAAGTAAATATCACTTAACCTCTCTGTTGTTTGAGTTCTATCATCTATGCACATGACTCCCTTCTACTTTCAGTATAAATACTTAGCTCGTCTGTAATTTGAATTTTGTGCACATGTACCCCTATACTTTTAATATAAGCACATAACTAGCTTAGTGTATTTCACTTGGTAAATGAATAAATGATCATGCTCATTATGAAGAATATTCTTTTTTGAAAGTATAAGGAATGTCATATGCTATATTTTGAAATCATAAGGGATTCATTGTACAAAGTTCAAAACTACAGGGGAGGTAAATGCTATTTACCTTAAAAATGATATGAACTAGTCTACTATGAAGTATTTACTATATTTAAAAATGAAATTAGTTGTGATAATTGAAGCCCAAACAAAACATGGGAAGTCCTGTGCCTTTTAAGCATTAACCTAAAATGAGTAACAAGCCCAATTTTATCCACGAACTGCACCAACTGATAAGTAGGTGCAAGAGGGAAAGATGAAATTTAATAAAATATAAGCATTGTTTAAAAATAAATCATTTTGGCCTTTATTATATGATGAGGTCAAATTTGCACTATCAGGAATTCAACTCTCTCGATCGTCAGAGAGTCAATCGAAAACGAATGATCGAAAAATAATATTTGTTTACATAGGGAGCTTCTAAATCGACATTTCCTATTTTAGATTCTCTTAACTAGTCGTAGATTTACATTGATTGCTCAATGACTGATCATAATTGACATGCTTTCGTTGTTTATATTTAGGGAGAATATTTTTCGAAACTACTCTTCTTCTAAGAGCTCTCCTTCATATTGCTACCTACTCCTCGACCGTCTTTTACGTGTTCGGATGAGCTGGCGAGTTCGTTACTCACATATTCCAGAGGCACTATACTAACGAATTTTTTATTGGACGAGCTTCTAAAGAGGCCATGTCTTTAATATGCATTGGGCCTCTGGGCTCAATAAATCCATCTCGATTCACACTCTTTTGTTCGCATCTTATGAGTAAGCCCTGTCGAACGGACCATCATTATGAAACAAAAGAACTCTTGTTGGATCATGGGACACCCAGTAAATAATTTTCACCACAAATATTCAACAAAGTCTAATTTATTTAATGAATCCATTTTATTAACCCAAACAAGCCCTTAAAAATATCAATAATCACTAGCCATAAAAAATGTTTATTATAATTCGGCCCAAATCCGAAACAAAATGGGCTTTATACAGTCATTTCGGCCTGATGACTATACACTAAAACCCTAACAAAAATTCCTTCTCTTCTCTGCACTTCTTTTTTTCTCCCAATTTTTCACTCTTCACACTCCCAAACCCTAGCCACCGCCAACAACAATGCCGCCGAAGTTCGATCCGAGCCAGGTCGTCGACGTCTTCGTCCGCGTCACCGGCGGAGAGGTCGGCGCCGCCAGTTCCCTCGCACCTAAGATCGGTCCACTCGGTCTCTCCCCGAAGAAGATCGGCGAGGACATCGCCAAGGAAACCGCCAAGGACTGGAAGGGCCTCCGCGTCACCGTCAAGCTCACCGTCCAGAACCGACAGGCCAAGGTCACCGTCGTCCCCTCCGCCGCCGCCCTGGTGATCAAGGCGCTCAAGGAGCCGGAGCGCGACCGTAAGAAGACGAAGAACATCAAGCACAACGGCAACATCTCGCTCGACGACGTCGTCGAGATCGCGAAGGTGATGAGGACGCGCTCCATGGCGAAGGAATTGGCTGGCACCGTTAAGGAGATTCTCGGCACGTGCGTCTCCGTCGGGTGCACCGTCGATGGAAAGGACCCCAAGGACTTGCAGCAGGAAATCTCCGACGGAGATGTCGAGGTTCCGCAAGATTGAGCTACGGAGGTTAAGTTTTTTTGGATTCGTTTCCAATTTTTCATATAAATTTTGTTATTTATTGTGCTTTTTTTTAATTATCAACTGTTACTGGGATTGAACTTTTTTTGTGAGGATTTCGTTTATGCTAAATTGGAATTTTTAAGACTAATTATGCTGTTAATGTTATTAGTGCTCTATTAAGGAGTATAATGTAGCTTTTTGTTCATGTGGTACGATTGTTCGTGAGTGTGCCGAATGTGAGTTTTTGCTTTGGGCTTTACGTTTTAGCTCCTTGGTATCTGTTATGAGTCTTCCGACCATTGAGATCGGTTAAGAGTCTGTAAAGACTAGTTAGATGGGATCGTTACTCTATTAAATATTTGCTAATTATCGACTTAAATGTGATTATGTAGAGTTGTTCTAAACCCCTTTTGAGATGAAATTGCTTGTGGAGGCATTTTCTCGTATGGTGGGAGTCACTAATCATGTTAGGACTCGTTTGGTTGTGGGAGATTAGCCATGATTAACTATATAATAGGACTTTGTTTGATGTTTGGTATCCCCAATAACTTACCGTGTCGACCTGCAAATATTATGTTTTCATGGCTTATCTTGCCTTTCATGCATGTTTTGTTATTGGATCGTCGAAGGTCCGATAATATAATTTGGTTTCATTAGATTATTTAATCTTATCTTGGCTAATCTTATTTTGTCAACCAAACGAGGCCTTATTGTGTTTGCCGGTTGGTGCATAGTCAAACATCCTAGTGGTTAGTGCTTATGTACACTTGCATGGTTAGTACTTATAGCAGTAGCTTTGTTGGCATTTTCTTTTGGTGTTGGGTTTCTTCTATTAGACAAATTCACGTAAGTGTATGTGTAACTGGTAAATATACTTCGGGTCTTTGTTCTGATCATTCATTTCACGGTACAAACAGGACCGTGAAAGTGAAATTTTCTTGAGCCTTTTCACCAAGTTAACATTTTATGTCAACTTGTTATTGACTGTCTTGATATATACGTGTGTCGTTTTAATGTCACATTTTGTGTCTGATTGTGCTTAGATTTGAATTGGTGATCTGGATCACAAGAATTGTTGCTACCAGAGATATGTATGATGCTTTGCACTGCATCTCTGATGCGTTATTCCTGTAGTTCCGCTGCGCTTCCTTTTTATGTTAAGTAATTTAATGTGTGCATATGTATGTGTATATACATATCTATTCGTATAACACCTGGTGCATAGTTGTATGGTACTCTCCCTTAGATGGTGCACATAGGTTACATCAACAACTACAATTCGTCTTTGTGATCGATGATGGAACCCGATACTACAATTCGTCTTTGTATCGAGTAAATCCAGTTGTAGATTTATATGTAGTTAGTATACATTTTATACACGTTAATATATATTTGTATAATATTATTAATATATAGTAAATCCCACTCAATATGATTTATTCGAAACATTTTTAACTGTCAAAAAAGATTGAGTAATATTTAGGTTTATAATTTAATCTCAAATGTTATACTCAAGGTTATTGGATGAGTGATCACATAAATGAGAAAACAAAGTGCTATGTAGCCAATGATTCTATGTAAGAAATGAGTGTATAATACGTGGTGCAGGTATATCCACCAAAACATTTTATCTAATATGTGTCTAGATTTTTGTTATTTTGTTTTGTTGTTTATTTTTTTTGATTTTTTTTTTCAATTAGAAATGTGACGTCAATTTGTTAGGCAAATCAATAACTAATTAAACTCAAGTGTTTTGAAATCCCGACTGGTTGAACTGAGTAAACTGCGAACCATTGCTTACACCGGTTGAATCGTACAATCGGTACCTAAGTGAGAATCAGCTGTACCCAATTTCTTTTTTTTAATAAAAGTAAACAAATACAATGGTTAAAAAGACGTTTTTTGTTGTTCAGTTGATTTTTTTCATTTTTTCTTTTAAATGGAAGACTTGTTATTTTTTATTATAATATCTATTATATGTGAAATGATTCGTGTGACATGTGTTAGTTAATATGTGTTAAAATAAAAATAAGTTTGATTTACATGTTAATTGAAAATGAGAATGAGTTAATGTTGTGTGTCCGGTTTTCAAATATCATTGATAAATTCAATCCTTTTCGAAAACTGATGTAAGGACACGTGTATAGCATAAGAATAATGACTTGATGACACGTGTTTTTCTGCAACGGATTTGTCGGCTCCGGCGGTCGTTCTACGTTGGTATTTAACTTTTTTTATTGTATGATGGTGTTATGTTATTGATTTGATGCTTATGAATAATTTATAAAATACTATTAAAATTATTTGAAACAAAATAATTCAATTTATTATCCACGTAGTTAATTGTTTAGGAAAGACGCATATCAACAAACACATATATATGTACACACACGACTATAAGCATCATTCAAAAATCACAATTGTTTAGCACATTTAATTTAAAAAAAAAATAATAGTTTAATTAAAATAAACCCCCATAATAAACGACTATAAGCACATGCATCATTGAAATTATTGGAGAACTTTTAGGTGTAAAAACAGAGAGATTTTATCTGGCAGAAACACAATCTTCTGATCACAAGATAATGACAACACATAGTGCCATTTTAATAATTCTAATTTAGCTAACTACTCCTCATCTCATCTTAAAACATTAATATTAATTAAACTATATTGTCGGGGCAATGATTAGTTAAGCACCAAAAGATAACATTAACAACTAATTCTTGGCACGTCAACTTAATTATAACAAAGTATAGGGACTTCTTAGACAATTATGGGTTAATATTTAATACTATGATGATATCCAAGACGAAGATTCGCATATCTACATAAATAATATTGGAGTGAATTTGTGTGTATCGACGACCCAGAATCGAATAACGTGAACACTTATGTGTGTTGAATGCACTATAAAACTAAGATTTTATGTATTTCTCGACAACAATTGATATTAGGACAACTGATAGTGCCTGAGATTCTACGAGTGGTATCAAAAAAAATAATTAAAAAATCAAACAAGATAAATAAAAAAATACTATGGTAAATTTAAAATTTTCACCTCCCCATCCATAATATTTCTATTTCAGTAATTTTGTTGTAATGAACAAATAATGGTGGTGGGCCCATGCAAGCGAAGAAAATTCTCCAATTAATCTATATTGGTCGGCCTAAAAAATTGTCTTGTTTAATTTCATAATTTGCATTTGGGCGGTTATATTATATTATAAAATTTTAATATTTATTTATTTAATTAATAATTTGTGTAGAGTTCAATTTTAATACTTGCACTCTCCCACCAATAAATAGCCATCCCTCTCCACTCCACTACTCACTCCCACCTCTCCTCTGCAACACTACACACACACTAATCACCCTCCGAAACACGCACATCAATGGCAAAGGACGTCGAGTGCGCTGATCCGCCGGCGGGATTCTCAGCCAAGGACTACCACGATCCGCCTCCAGCGCCGCTCTTCGATTGCGGCGAGCTCACCCAGTGGTCCTTCTACAGAGCTCTAATCGCCGAGTTCATCGCCACTCTCCTCTTCCTGTACGTTACCGTGTTGACGGTCATCGGCTACAAGGTCCAGAGCGACGCCGTCCACGGCGGCGACCAGTGCGGCGGAGTCGGAATTCTCGGCATCGCATGGGCATTCGGCGGCATGATTTTCATCCTCGTTTACTGCACCGCCGGTATCTCCGGTAAGTTCACAATCCCCAATTTATTCAAATTCGCCCTAACAATTGAAGAATTCATTCATTCATTCATCCAAACACGGCCTTAATTGAGTTTTGATAAACAGGAGGGCACATAAATCCGGCGGTGACGTTTGGGCTGTTTTTGGGGAGGAAGGTGTCGCTAATTAGGGCTGTGCTGTACATGGTAGCACAGTGCCTCGGTGCAATCTGCGGCGTAGGTTTGGTGAAAGCATTCCAGAAATCTTACTACGTCCGGTACGGCGGCGGAGCCAACACCCTCGCTCATGGGTACAACACCGGCGTAGGTTTGGGTGCAGAGATCATCGGCACCTTCGTTTTGGTGTACACTGTTTTCTCTGCCACTGACCCCAAGAGGAACGCACGTGACTCCCACGTGCCTGTAAGTATTTTAACTATTTTTAAAATTTAAAATAAATATATATCATTATTTTTTGATTAATTAATAATTATGTATGTAAAGGTGTTGGCCCCACTTCCGATTGGATTTGCTGTGTTCATGGTACACCTGGCAACAATACCCATCACCGGCACCGGAATCAACCCAGCCCGGAGTTTCGGCGCCGCCGTGATATTCAACAATGACAAGGCGTGGGATGACCAGTGGATATTCTGGGTCGGACCATTCGTCGGAGCTGCCATTGCTGCCTTCTACCACCAATTCATCTTGAGGGCGGCCGCCATTAAAGCTCTTGGATCTTTCAGAAGCCATGCTTAAGATTTAAATGAAAATTCAGTGATGAATAATAAGAATTCCCATCAAAATTGTAGATAATTTTCTCCCTATTGTTGTTGTTGCTTTCATTTTTTTTTTCTCTTTTTTTTTTCTTTCAGGTTTGGTTGTATTTCTGTGAGGCTTGATTTTAATAATTATCAGTTTCTTTTCTCAAATATATATGAAGAATCCAATATAATCATTGTCACACAATAAATGATGATCATTCTTCGATAAATATTTGATGGAATAATGTAAATTATGGTGAACTATGTCGAGCAACCGATCACTAGTTGATCTTGACTTAGTGAAACACAAGCAACCGATCATTATTAAAAATTGAAATTTCAGCACTGTGGCTGTCGATACTCTATCCCAGAACTATGCATTAACTTACCAATTCAAAACTAGTCGAGCTATACCCATACGGTTTTACGATCTATTTTACACACACACAAACACAAATGTTAGTGCATCGATTTCAACGAGCGTAGCATAAATTTGATTGATTATATGGGGTATTTTGAGAATAGGTGCATTTTCAAAGTTGAATTATTTGTCAATTTGTAATGCAGGAACCTTCAAGAGAAAACATGTTACTTCATTAGGGTTTTTAATTGATAATTTATTAGCAATGCATATGCAACTCTTGTAGCTCATTTTTTAATCCATCTTATCTTGTTCCTACTTTAATTAATTGAGCACTTTTTTGAGGTTGGTATTTGATGATGCACATTTTCTTTAAATACTCATTTTTCGAGTAACTTTTTTAGTGGGAGTAAGTAGCTTAAGAAACAAATTTCTATTGCACATTTTATTTATTTATTGGAAAGGAACTCACAACCACTCGACATATACTAGCTAAACTAAATGACACAAATTTAACCATATATAACAAGCTCGATGTAGGAAACAATGGTACAGAAATATTACACTGCAAATATAAACTCTACTAAGGTAACAGTGTGTGTAGAGCTCAATCTCTAAAGTATCGTTAAATATCATTCTACAGATAAATTAACACTAAATTAACCATGCGTGACGAACTCGATCTAAAAAGTGTGTATATTCACTACTAGAAAAACTATTTATCGTGACGCTGCAAAGGGTCACCAAAAGGGGATTTTTGTGACGCGTGACCTATCGTGACCCCTAGCTGAAGCGTCACATAGGTGGCCGTGGTAATAGGTTATTATGACGCTTCTGGCGTCGTCATAAAAGCCATGGTATTATGACGACCCAAAGCGTCTTAAAATCCTTTTCTTGTGACGAATTTAAGTGTCACATTATGATTTCCAATAACTTTAATTGCTTGAATATATGACACTGTGAAGCATCATAAAATGTATTATTTTGATGAATTGCAATGTTACAAAAGCCTTAGTATATGACACCTCTTGACATCACAACAACATTGGTGAAAAATTACCATACTGATAAACAAACACAACGATCATATATAAACAAATTCAACCGAAAACCATTATCTGTTATACAAAATCACAACACAATAAACAGTTGATAGGACTA